CCGGTAAGTCGTTGTACGTCCTTCAGCGAACTGGGCGACCTCATTTCAGTTATGGCCTTGATCTTCTCCGGATTAGGCTCAATTCCACGCTTGGTCACCATGAACCCCAGAAACTTACCGGTCTTTACAGCAAAGACGCATTTCTTGGGGTTGAGACGCAAGTTGTACCTAGCCATAATCTCGAAGCAGAGCCTCATGTCGGCCGGGTGGTTCTCCGCACCCGGGCTCTTGATCAGCATGTCATCCACATAAGCCTCCATGGATTTACCGAGGAGTGGCTTAAAAAGCCGGTTTACCATCCTCTGGTAAGTGGCGCCCGAGTTCTTCTGTCCAAAGGCCATCACCCGATAGCAATAAGTGCCTTCGGGGGTCAAGAAGGAAGTCTTTTCCTCGTCCTCTTCAGCCATGAAAATCTGATGGTAGCCTTTGAAAGCGTCCATGAAGCTGAGCAATTCACACCCTGCCGTCTCATCGACCATCTGATCGGGATTGGGCAGCGGGTATGAATCCATGGGGCATGCCTTGTTCAGGTCCGTGTAATCCACGCACATGCGCCAGGTATCGCCCTTTGGAGCCAAGACTACGTTTGCTAGCCAGGCCGGGTATTGCACTTCTCTTATGTGCCCGACCGCCAACAAATCCCTCACTTCTTTCTTCACAAAATCCCTCCGGACATTCGCCAAGTGCCTCTTTTTTTGTTTCACAGGCCGGCTTCCTTCCATCACAGCCAAACGATGGCATATGACAGAACGGTCAATACCTGGCATGTCCGCCACACTCCAAGCAAAAATATCTGCATATTCCCGAAAGACCGAGATGATTTCATCTCGAAGTCCTCCGGGCAGATCTCTGCCAATCCTTACCATTCTTTCCGGGAAGGCTTCCTGGAGAACAATCTGTTCGGTTTCATCGCCCGGTTCCAGCTTTGACCGGTCTTCTTCCTGGGAGACCAAGGTGATCCTTTCGAACGCCTTGGTCATTTTCTTTACACCTTCCAAATAACAATGCCGAGCCTTCTTTTGATCTCCTCTGACTTGTCCTATACCGCCCGGGGTATAGAACTTCATACAGAGGTGGGCCATGGAGATGACCCCTCGAACCTTGTTTATCCCAGGCCGGCCCAAAATAGCGTTGTGAACACATTTGGTGTTCACAACTACAAACCTCATTTGCTTTTGGACGACCTGGTCGCCTGTGCCCAGCTCACAAGTTAGAAGAATCGACCCTTCAGCTTCGACTGAGTCCCCGGTAAACCCAGACAGGGGAGTCTTTAGGGGCTCAAGCCGTGTTCGACACAACTTGAGCTTCTCAAATGCCTCCAGGTACAAAATGTTAACACTGCTGCCCGTGTCAACAAGTACCCGGGAGACATCAACTCCACCCATGTCCATAGTTATCACCAGGGGGTCATTGTGATCTTCTCCGGTGGCGGGAAGGTCCCGGTCAGTAAAAGTGATCGGTTCCCGTCTTGCTTGTTTTGACCGGGGATTGAGGGCTACCGTCCC